CTGCAGATTTAAAGCTCACAGCAACAGTTTCATGATCAGTCCAGTCTGGCATAGATTTATTCTGCTGCTCAAGTGATGGCACTGGGATTCACGAAGCCATATGGCAGATTGGCTCAGGGAACCAGTTGGGCTGTAGGCAGACCATTTGTGGGAGGGTTGGTTATTTTTCAGATCAGTTCTCTGATTCATTCACTGCATGGCTGCATGACTGGTGGAGGGAGAAGGGGCAGCAGAAAGGGGACAGGCATGGGGAGAAGGAAAAACAGAGGACAAGACAGCTCTTTCCTTGCATCAGGGCTGCCTTATGCCAGGTTGTAGAGATGTGGAACTATTGTTTCTGAATTTACAAAGCACCCTGACAAAGCAAAGCTAATTTTTTTCAAAAGACTGTTGAGCACAGATAGCAGAGGAAAATGTTGGAAACTGATTTTAAGGAGCTGGTCCTCCAGTTGCAAAAAAATCTAAGGCAGACAGAAATGTTTTAAAAAGGAACCTTTTAAAAACAATTTTTTTGATGCCAAGCCAAAACAGAAAGCAGCGTTCTGCCACTTCTCCCAATCTGAATGACATCAAAAGCAAGAACTCAAGAGTTTGTTAAAACCAAAAATGAAAACTAGTAGTTGCAAAAAGATAAACCAATCAGCACAAATGGCATAGTAAATTAGCACTTTAAAGAAACACTTTAAAACTAAACTACCTCAGGAATTATCTTTTAACATAACAAGTCTTTTAACAGTAGATTCCAGAGGACAGGGTTTCACATTTTTCAGCATCCCATAAAAACATATGAAAAATGCCCACTGCTGTTGGTGAATTATTGTTTGCCATGCTTTAAACAGAAAAATGACGCCTTTGCAAATGCTGCAATTTGCTTTTTACACCACAATAATCTATTATTAGTCATCAAGAAAATTGCTTTGGATTTTCTAACAGTCTTTTAACTGCGTCTGCCTAGTGGTTCTACTTTTTACCTATCAAATTTAAATGTAAAAATATGCTTTTGGTGTTCTCATGCAGAAAGGGGGGAAAAAAGAGGTCTAAGGTCACAGCTGGAGGGGCTGTGTTGCATGCAAGCAAGTGTACTTGAAAATTTGTGCAGGGTCCAAACACTCTGAGTCAACTGCAGTCTCATCACGGGGATAAAACCACTAAGGCAGCTGCTGAATTTCCTGAGGTATCTCCAGTTGTGTAATGAGAAGCCATGAGGAGAACACATAGAGAATATCTATATTATGAATTTTAAAGAGTAAATGGCATGGGAACTTCTGCTTCCCATATTTCCTAATAAATGAGTGGAGACACATTTGAGATGAAAAGGCCACAAAGGCTTAAGAGGAATAAAATGGTTTTTTTTTTTTTTTTTTAAATAGACTAGATGAACTGAACTGTGGAGCTTGCCTTATGACATTCCTAATGGAAATAAAGCTGCCAGGAGTTCATACACTTCAGAACAACTCTATTATAGGAGCTATGATGGTATCTATGACATTATGGTACTAGGAACAAATGTGTCTTGTTCTACAAGCCATCGATTTTCAGAGTCCTGTAAAACATGGCACTGAATAATATGGGACTTGTACTCTACTAAAAATTTGATTTCACATGAAAATGGAAATACATTTGCCTTTTTTTTTTTTTTTTTTGTAGTCAGCTTCTGACTCTTTTGATATAAGTTACTCAAGAAACAAAGCATTTGGTCATAGTGACCTCAATCTATTCCTCTTTCCTAGGCAGGAGCAACAGGGTATGTCAGTTTTGAGGGAGATACTACCTTCTCCTAATTCAGCATTTCTTGTCCTTCCGTTTCTCAAGTCATCACAGAAAACATGACAAAAGAAGGAAACTATAATAGCTGGTTGTGGGCTCTGCCATATCCTCCCAGTTACATCCCCACACTTTTATGCATCATAGCCTGACACAGACTCCTGCTGTGGATAATTTCCAGCTGAACAGTTTAAGTTGCACAGAATTACTTTTAAAGAGTTAACCTGTTCTTTCCTTGTGATGAAGCTGTACCCCTTGTGCCTATAAACACCTATCCGTATCCTGCAGTCAGGCATCCAGTATATTCATCCTATCCTAGCAATGCACATCCTCATTCCTTTTCCAAATGAACAACCATGTTTTACTAATTAAAAATAAAGGAGGAAAATATGGAAGATCAATCAGGTGGATACAACACCAGGATAATGCAGTATTACTGCATTTCTGGCCTCTGGCATTACCTACCATGTAATTCTGCCTATTCTACTCTTTTCTAGATCACCTGCTTGCTTAACAAATTAGTGGAGAATAACTAGCAAGAAAGTGAAGGAAAGTAAAAGCCTCATGCCTGGAATAATATAAAATACCATGTGAAGCACTAAAAAATAAAGATTTTTCTGAGAAGCAATTTAAATGACTAAAGAGTCTTCCTTCTCTCAGTTTTCTATTAATCTGCTGAGGAGTCAGTCGTGAAGTTCAGATACAAGAACATGCTTATGTGTTATGATGTTTGTCATCCCCTTATTTCATCCCCTTTTCAACAAGCACTCTCTAGTTCACCTGGAACTTCGTAGCAAACTCTAATTTCACTCTTTTGTAAAACATTCCCAGTAATTTTTGCAAGACTCCCTCCCCTATAGAAATGACCTCTGGAGGACAAGCCATCAGCAGACATCTCCTTACAAAGGATTCCCCAAATCATCCTGTGGGAAGAGAATGTAAATAGAGATAAACTGCAAAATAAACTCTTCCTATGGATTTACCAGGCTTCCAGAGAACAAATGGTCCGTACCACCCCGCGTACCACTTGGAACTTTTCTGTCAGGTGTCTCTGCTCCACAGGGCTCACGCTCTCACAACAGCTACTCATTCACCATTTTCTATGCTAGCAGACCAAAAGAACTCTGCCAAGGTCACTGTTGTCCTTGGCATAAAAACATCTAAGAAGAGACAGTGCTTTTTCCCTTCTGTTCTCCCCTCCTTTCTAAGCCGCCACCTTCCTCCCTCTGGTGCCAAAGCAGCATTGTAATGTGGTCCAGCACAGCATTTTTTCCTGTGTTTTGGGTTGTGGTTTTTTTTTTTTTGTAGTCCACAAGACAGCCTAATGAAGGGAGGCCCACATGAAAGAAAACCCAATGGACTAAAATAATGGGACTGGCTCAGAAGGACAAGAAACATTTTTACACATCATAGTCAGTTTGCTAGCCTTTGTGCAATGCTCTAGAGTTGTGATATATGATTTATTCATTTGTTTTTCTACTCATTTGCATTTCATATTACAAGACAATTTTTTAAAACCTGACAAAAGCACTAATTTATTTCATAAAGGATTTGCAGAAGACTTTAATAAGCTCTTATTTTGTGCAGAAAGACAAACATTGTGTCATTAAACAACTCTGCTTCTGGAAGAGAGAACGCTTCAAACTCGCAGCCCTAAGACAGACATGCACATCTCAAAAGACCCTGCCTTGAACCAAGTTCTCCCATTACTGAACTGCACACAGAATCACGCTAGCTGAAGAGCATTTGTACCAAGCTTTGAAGGCCTGGAAATGCTCTGCATGTTTCATGTTTTACACACAGCATCTCCCAGTCCCTGAAGTCTTGGGAAGGCTCAGTGTCAGACCGCCCTCTCACGGCAAGCGCCAGGGCAGGGAGCAGCCCCGCACAGCCCCGAGGTGGAAGAAAGATGTCAGAGCTGGTCCCTTCTATTGAACAGCATGTAGGCATCAGCATATGCAAGCCTGACCTTCCAAATTTTGAGCTGGAATCAGCTGCTATGCTCTTGACTTCTCTGCCAGAACAACAAAACCATCGCTTGCTCATCATCCGCACATCGTGCCGCAGTTTTGCTGTTGCACGCAGCAGAATTTGGCACTGGGACTGGATTCCCTATCCCTCCTTCTGTACTCTGGGGTATTGTAAATTCTGGCCTCATTGAAGTGCTGTGATAAATGCCTTAATATCTTCGTGTCTATCGTGGTTTGAAACTGCCCTCTAGGGCTCTGCAACAGAATAGTGCCGAGCAGTATCTCACCTGCTCTCATCTACTCTTTTTTTCCCTGTTTCCACCTTACTCCAGTCAAATCTATCAGGGAGGACTAATACAGAATTAATTCTGTTAGCCTTAGACAAAGAGAAAACAGCACAGCAAAGTGCTGCTGGACCAGTATAAGAGAGATTGCAATTCAGAGCAGAATCTGTGTCTTCAGCTGCATGTCTCACTGTAACGTGACTCTCAGGAATTCCTGAAAAAACTATACAAATTGAAAATCCATCAGTTTTTCTCCATGTTGGGATTTAAGTCCTAGAACATCAAATCCACATCAGCGTCACCTTGAAACAGTGGCAGATAGCTATGTCACATAGTTGTTTTGTTGCTTGCTGTATAGAAAGCAGAGGACTGGACAGTAGCTGCATCTACAACTTCAGGAGAGGAATAGAAATAAACCTGATTTTTCACAAAGCCACCAAGCAGCCAAGTCTTCTGGGACAAAATGTACATCAGAACTAGCTTCGGGACACCCTAACTGATGTCTGAGTGAGGTAGGAATTATTATAATCATCTTCTCATACTGTCATTTAACGTACAATACCTGTTCTGAAATGCTGCACCATGTTTGAGTTGCTTGCCATTTTGAAGGTCCACACTTACAAAGAAGCTAAACTGATAGCACCTAGCCCAGAAATGAAGGCATGTTCTTATGAATGTTCCTACAAAGTCAGATAACATACTCAAAGGCAAATTCATGTATTTCTATTTCTTGCTGCAAAACGGGATGGGCTGGGAACTACTGAGCCAGAATTCCAAAATACTTCCATCCCTGATGCATGTGGATGAGCATGGAAAAAGAAACAGAGTTGATATCACTTTCAAGTATGATGATTTGGATATTAATTTTGCAGTAAGAATGATTTCCTTTGCCTTGCATTACCGTACAACTTTGCTGCTGGATGACACCCAGGAGATGCTTTGGTAGCAACTGGAATAAAGGAAGTGAAAGTAGGTGGCTTACCTTGTGTTGTGCCATCTAGTCCCATGAGACATTTCATTGCCCTGATGATTTGCTCCGCTACGGGTGGACACATGGACGTGGCGTACACAGCGCTGTGAGAATGAGCTCGTAAAAAGTCCACAAGGCCCTGACACAAGCAAAACAAAGCATGAGTGAGCTTGGAGCTGGCCAAACAGCAGGTCCTCCCCTTAACTACTGCAGGAGTGGGAATGTGCAAAGGGAAGAGGACGTTTCACCAGCTATGGGTTTGCTTTCTTGGCTGCCACTGTTTAATACATGGCCTGAAGGAACATCAGGCAGGTGCAAATACTTTACCAAGTAAGTGGGGCAGTTACAGCTGAAACACAAGTCTGGAAGAGAATAATGTTTACTTCTGTGCTAAGACTTATTACAAAGGAGCCAAAATAATTTCAAGACCAATGAACAGCTGCACTTAAAATAATGCTGCTCAGTTGCTCTCTGAGAAGGAAGCAAAGCCTACATGACTTCAGAATAATTTCTCTGCCTCGTGACCTAAACCAGGAAAAGCACCTTATTGGGATCTATCTTTGTCTGTTAGCACAGAAATTTTCAAACAAAACTTTCCATCAGTGTGGCAGGGACAGTCATGTTAGAGTTGGTATAGTTGCTTTAACATTTCCTTGAAAAAGCACTGATGTACTGTAGGTAAAAAGCACTGGTAACTCTCCTGAATCCAGGGATCTGGTAGGAATTCAGATCTTATTAAGATCATCATTGTTACAACAGCTTATACCTCCTAGTGCATAACATCAGAGTAGCGGTTACCATGCTAAAAGCTGAATTCATGTTACTGAGAAAGGGATGACACCTTCTTGAAAGTTGGACTTTGGTAAAAAAAAAATCGTCAGAAAAAAAACCAACCCAAAGGGGATTAGACAAATTACTGCCAAATGAGCTGTATGAGTTTATGCAGTAACTCCAATGCTGAGGATAAAGACCTAGCTAGCCTTACACAGGCCATGTATGGCTATATTGCAACTGTACTCCTAAGTGGTTTGGTTAAATAGCTGAGAAGGCTTCTGTGCTCCAGCTGATGCAGAATAAACAGTGCCACCCTGAATTTTTGGCTGCAGAAATGAATGTAAGTGGGTGAATGGGTGAGCAGGCTTCCAAGGCTCAGAAGCCTGAGGCAAAGCTTACTGATACACACAGGCGTGAAAAGAATGACCTGTTTTCATTTAAAGTAACTCCCGAGGATTAGAGCATGAATTACTTCAGACTACTTTTCACAGGTCTAGTCTTTCTATACTTTTTAGTTACATTAGCCACATTGTCTTTGGTAAGACTTAAGCCTTCAGATATAAATTCAGGAAGGCGAGGAGACAAAGCAAATTGACTCTTGACGTACTATGACACCCGGTTTTAAGATCTCCAGAGGCAAATCCAAAAGAGACAGTAAGAAATATACAGTTTATACTTTCATATAGCCCTTTTGTTCTACTGTAGGGCTACCCTTATTAATGTTATCCTGACAACAACCATATGGGCTGTCTAAACAGGCTCCCCACTCATTCAGCAGACTCCTTAAAAAATACATTCAGCAGGGTCTGAAAAGGGCAAATAATCAGCAGCCACTTGATCTCTCTGTCAAGCAACAAAACCGATGACATTTCACAATGGTGCTGATTATGCTTTCCCTTCTACACCCCCAGTTAAAGCAAACTCAGCTTTACTTTTGTTGACATCTGTTGTTGGCAAGAGATTGTTTTGTTAATGTACGCGGAGCAACCGAGGACACACAATTTACTATTGCAAAAGGCCCTCAGTAACCCTCTTTGTCCATTCTCCTAAAAAATGCAACTATGTCAATCCACAACTGTTTAGGAATTTTATTATCAGCGGATGAAAACTGTGGTTTTAATCTCTCAATATTGCCCCACACACTGTTTGCAAATGCGAAACAAAGTAATGAGCAATCCGCATGCAAATTAATGTAGGGAAGTATATTTAGCCAACCACAGCGTGTCCAAACATTTCCAAGACAAACAACAATGATCAGGGTGGCACAAAAAATACCCAGCTCAAGCAAATTACATAACGTGAACACGAGACAAAAAGAAGAAAGTCTGACTGTTTGATGTGCGTTCGGGATCCAGGCAAAAATGGTACTAAAACTTCAGAACGGCGCTCATGCAAAGCCGTCTGTGTGAAAAGCTACTGAAACGCATCATACCTAGTAAGAAAGTACTTCCCACCCCCTCAATGTTAAATTGTTTATGCTTCCCTTTTACCTTTTTGCCAGCTATGTATCCTCCAGCTGCACCAAAGCTCTTCGTGAACGTTCCCATTAATACATCAACGTCATCGGGGCTCATCCCGAAGTACTCCACGACGCCTCGGCCCGTTGCTCCCACTGCGCCGATGCTGTGAGCTTCGTCCAAGTAGAGGTAGGCTTTGTATTTGTTCTTCAAGGAGACTATCTCCGGCAGGCGCACGATGGACCCTTCCATGCTGCAGGTGGAGAGAATCAGGGGTGAGCAACAACTCCTGTACTCTTTGTCTTTGAGATGCTGGCAGAAAAATATAGTCGTTAATTGCCTTAGTCCATGAAACAGCTTCTGGGACCTCAATTTTTTTCTTACAGTTCGAAGAGAACTTGCAACCCTTTCCCATTGGCAGGTGAGTATAATAAAGTCAAAGGGAAGTTTTAGGATTTGAACAATCAAGACCAGTCAAAAAGTCTTGGAACATTTGCAAATCGATAGCATGCCAAAAAAGAGGAGGAAATGTGTAAAGCAAGGGGGAGATAGTCACCCAAAGCAGCACATTACAATTCATCAGTACAAAACAAATATTATAATGAATTATAAAAGAACTGTTATAACTCAGTCTGGTTCTTGCTTACTTCATCAACAGCTACTGTGGCAATATTTGGGCATAACAGCTCTAGAGAAAATTCCTCTGGTGCAGGGGAGTTGGGTCCAACATACACAGGAGATGGGCCACATGAAAACCCACAGCTGGTGCCATAATTTTAAGCAGCCACAGTCTTCAGAGTGAACAGAAATCAGGGGTTAGAACAGGCAGCTCAAATCCACTTTTGCCAATTGTTGCTCTCAGTATGTACTTTTTAGGAATGTGGCCTGCTACCTAGTAATCAAGAGGAAAAAAAGTTTCCATTCCTTTTCTTTTTACTTTCTTACAGCCATACATGGAAGGGAAATATTCTGAACCTGCACTGGAACAGGTTGCCCGGAGAAGCTGTGGATGCCCCACCTCTGGGGGGCATCTCTGGTTCAAGGCCAGATTGGATGGGGCTTTGAAAACCTGGTCTAGTGGGAGATGTCCCTGCACGTGGAAAAGGGGTTGGAAGTAGATGATCCTTCAGGTCCCTTCCAACCCAAACCATTCTATGATTAGTGGCATATTGAGATTTGTAGAAAGGAGAAAAGATAACAAATCTTTTGTACTATTGGCAGCCCTGTCAGTAAGTGGGAAGGCACACAGGAGGTGTACAGCAAAATGAAAGCCCAGGGAGATAAATAAGAAATGCTCTCTGCTCTCATAAAGATGACATATCCATGTTAATGCTGTGAAGACTTACGTCTCGAAAACCTTTCTGAGATGACTACAGCTACGCTTGGATATGCTCAGATGCACTCACTATCTCTTCCACCAGCTCTAGTAAGCTGGTCTTTAAATGCTAAAAACTTCCTATCAAACACAAAATCGGTGTCCTGTGTGCCAGAAAAACCAGTGCTCTGTGACTACAGCCCACTTGCAAATGCAACGAGCTTCAGGTGAGCAGAAACATGAGTTTGTTCCCAAGTAGCAAGTATAAAGGAGCAGTGCAATCAGTGATGTCTTGGGAATTTTTAGATCCTGGACCAGTGGCTTTCACAGGCTCTTTTATTGCCACTCTAGTTGCACTGTGGAGCTGGAAGTTTGGAACCACAAAAGTAGCAGGATGTTCTTTTAGAACTCAAGAAATTTCTGACAATTTTAGTCCTTCTTCATCCTTTGGTCTCCTGAGTCAGCTTGGAAACTGTTTGGTCTCCAGTTTTGAAGGAGACCTGCCCATAGGCAAGTCTCCATTAGTTTAACAGCACGGGGGAGTAGTCATGGACAAGGGTTGCCTGTGCTGTTCATACTGAGATGTTCAGAGAGCCTGGCTGCCTGTGCCTGGAGGCATAATTTTGGCTGTAGGTGACTGCTGGCAAATCCTGCCCTTCTGTCTTGCCCAGCCATAAAAGAGGCAACTGTGGGGCTGTATATTGGCACCATGGTCCCTTGCAGCAAAGAAGGGTGGGCTTGTACTGCAAGCTCCTGAAGACTGGGCTTTCTCACTTTTCCCAAATGACACTTGGCAGCTGGGGGAGAAGGAACTTGAACTACCACAGCTACTTTTCCTAATGAATGCAGGGGCAGAGCCCATAGTCCTCACATAGCCCAGAGTCAAAGCATTAGTCAGCTAAAAACTACCCTGAGCCACTGGGTGTGCTTGGACCTGCTGTGTTTGGCAGCTCTCAGCTGTGTCTGGTCAGTCTGCAGGGTGGGTGTGTGGACAGAGTGCCAAGGAGCACCTCTGCAGAGGGAAGCAAACAGCCATCCCACCCTCCACCTTCCAGCAAAGCTTGGGCAGACCAGCTAGGCAGAGAAGGACAGTGTAACAGTTTTTCCACATTTATATGGACATCATTAGGCTTAGTGGCTCATGGAGATTCAGATGGGAGAGTCAGCATTTAACTTTAAAAAGCCAAGAGCAAAAATGGTAAATTAAAAATGCTGCATATTTGTGGAATGGGAGCAAAGCTGTGCTGAATCCCAGAATACATGGAGCTGGTTCAATGGCTGTTGCAAGATTTAACCACTAAGAAGATTTAATGAAAACTTTTCTTACTCATATGAGTAGGTGATTTCTCTTGGAACTCTAAGCTGTTACACAAAACAAGGCACTTGTATTCAGTTTCAGAGCTGACTTACTGCTCTGGAAAGATGCTGGCTGACATAAATGTTATAATGGTTGACAGAGATCCCAACATGGCCTTGAAGTGTCCATGGATAAAGTGCTGCTGGATTCATGCATGCATTCAGTGCTGCCATTCAAACAGGCCTCAGCCCTCCTGATGGAAAAGATGACCTGTTTTGCTGTCTGCTCTGCTCTTGGTCTCTCTTTTGACCCTGGCAGATGGTTATTGATATGCTCAACACTGTTTAGAACTGCTTCAAGATAAAACTCACTTCACAGAACCCCTTGGGAAGCCCAAATGGAAAGTTTACTGAATTCTCTGGTAAATATTGACCTCAACTCACCTTAAACCAGAGAGCCAGAAGTGAACTGTAATGGTTCTGTCTCAGTCTGGTTGTGTCACTTAGCTTTGTGTACAAACAGCTATTGTGTACAAACCTATTGATCTGTTTCCAGATCTGCTCAAGCCCCCGGGGCACATCCAAAGAGCTGGATACAGACAAACGTAAACTGGCTCTGCCTAAGCCAGATGTTCTCATTATGACACCCTGTCTCAGGGAGGAAAAATTTCTAGATTGCAGCTGACCCTCGTCACCCCTGTTTGGTGGACAGACACAGAAGCTTGAGTTAGTCTGAGCTCAGTTTGACCCTACTTTCCAGACATGAGGAGATAACCCCAAGTTTTGGGAACACTGAAGTTTGAAACTTGATTCAATCCCTATCAGACCACTGACATTCTTCCTGATGCAGCTGATGAACTGTGGAGCAGGTGCTTTGAGAGACAGGAGGTGAGCACTTGTGATGGTCACTCCATTTGGAACAGAGGCTCCAACTTGTCAGGATGTTTTTCTGCCCAGTTTATTTTGAAACTTCTTGGGAAAAGAGTTTTCTACATCCTACTCTGCTACCACAGCTTCAATTTATTTTTTTTTCCTGTCATGAAAACTAATTTACTGATATTCAACATGTTATCTACTTCATAACTGTGTCACTCAGCATCTCTAAACATGCCCCATAGTACCACTATGTTTTCAACATTTCAAAAGTTTATCTGTTCCCCTTTTAGGCTAGTTTGTAATTGGGAAAATCTGTCCTTTCCTGGCCTGTTACTCCCAATTTTAACAGTTCATTCCATTTTAGCAGTTACTTTAGGCACTGGTTTCTTACATAAACCTTGTACATTCATACAACAATCTCTGTTTTGTAGTTTAGAGCAATAATTTTAAGGAAACCTTCCAACTCTGCCCTCAAATACAACTCCATACACTGAAATGATAGAAATGTTAACCTTTAATGCTGGTCCCTGGCCAAAGACATTAAATGCTACCTCATTCTTTTCTGGAAGTCCAGTCACTTAATCCCAGGAAATAAAAAATAACCCCGATAAATTTCCTACACTATTGGCATTGAATCCCAAGGAACTTCTAACTCACATGAAAAGGCACTGGACAATATCTAAGTGATCAGAGCTATTTTCTGAGCTGGACAGGAAAATACCCAAATTAAATTAAAAGCAGGGGAAAAAAACTAAATGAAAACCAATCTGTTTTGATCAGTTTCTGATGCCCCATAACTCCTGCCCTGGGCCTTGGCCTATCTGACTCCTCAGTAAATAGGCATGGAAGAGAGCAGAAGCCCACCACGGACCATGTAAGAACACAGTAACTGATTAATCCTGAACTGGAAATGGGAGAAGCCAAGGAAAACATTAGCTGGAATTTGAATAATAAAAATATGATTTAGCAAGTCAGTTTAACTTGTGCCCTGGTCACTGCCAAAAGTTGTTCATGCTTTTTGTGCTGAAGATTGATGGTGAGACGGTCTCCCTCAGTTTGGAACGCAAAGGGAATATATTTGCTCCTAGGCTGGTCCAAGTTAAAGAACCAGCTTTCACTAGTAGTTATATTTACTTCTGATGAATTTTTCTTCTTTTTTTCTTTCTAAGATAATAGAGACATTAAAAGGCAAACAAACATATACTTTTTGCTATGGGTTTGCCATGAAGCTCGAGTGCTTCCCAAGTCGAGGGGCCAATTCTGTCTTCAGTTGTAACCAAGCAAAAATCTGTGGCTTATGGTTTCAAACACAAGTCTGATTTCCAGAAATGCTCGTGTTGGCTAACAATGACCCTTTTCAAATTTTGCCAGTTGGTAAGTCCAGGCTTATGCACAGTGTAAACACTTTAACAGAGTCCTAATGGAAACAGAAGGCAAATTTCTTTCCATACCATAAACATCACCAGACTAAGACTATGGTGTCCCATATAACAATATTTTTTAAAGAAGGAAAGCTTAGTGTTTTCTTTTGCATCTCTGGAAAAAGCATTTCTGTAAAAATTTGCCAAGCCAAACTTGCAAATCAAGATATTTTAACTCGGAGAATGGCTTTGACCAAGTTATTTAAATTCCGTATTAGCTGTCCCTGAAGCATAACTTAAATCCTTTATGGAAAAAAAAGAGAAAAAAAGCAGTATTAACTATTGTAAGAAGAATATATTAACTCCACTCTACCTCCCCTTAAACCCTCTTGATGAATGTTAATTTGTCATCTGGCAAACCTTCAAGAAAACTTAACATTAGCCAACATGGGGCTGGAAAATTTTAGTCTTTCAACAAGTGTGGGCCAAGAAAGGAAAGAACATGCACACAAAAAGAGTAAGAGTATTTCTAATATGTCTTTCTCCAGCTTTTTTTTTTTTTTTTTTCATATTTAATGTTCTTAGCTACTGACTGGATTAGACTACCCAGGCTGTGAGACTGTTCCCAGCAGTGCCCAGGGCTGGCAGTGGTGGCAGGGACACGGCACGGTGGGGTGTGGTGGCACCGGCCCTGCAGCCAGAGCAGACCTGCTTTACAACCAAACCACACTCTTCAATTTCTGATCTGCCTGGACTATGAAAACAACTAATCAACCAACCAACCCAGCTACTGCTAGGGCTGGTTTCCAATGAGAGACTGTCAGAGAGCTGAGCATTGGTTTTCTTCTATTTTATGCCTGTTAGAAGCACAGACACTCAGGGCATGAGTGGTCTTCACATTATTTAGCCTTTATGGAGCTGAAGGAACTTTATGCTTCTTTTTCAGTGAGGTACTCTGAGCTTTAACATGTTTTTATTTTGCATTCCAACAGAAGGTTCTTTGATCTTTGGAAAACGAAATCTCCTTTTAAAACCAACTGCAAAACTAGAGGAAAATAAAACTCTACATCAAACATAGATCTGGAAATACATACAATATTTACTATATTATAGTTAATATAGTAAATATCTGACAGTGGGTTTGTCCTACTGCTTGGAATGATCTATGCTTCTGTGTCAGCAGTCTACCTTCTTGCTCTCTAGTGGTCAATATTCAGGCTAAAGGATTTAAAAACGAACAAAGCTCAGCAGCTGGAGGTTTTTCTGCCAGCCATGTGACCAGTGGGGATATTTGTCAGTAAAATGTTGGTGGTCCACTTAATTTCTTCATGATCAAAGTCCTTAAATCTGAGCTTTCTTTTAGTAGTGCCAAGCAATGTTTATTTGCAGTTTTGCTCTGTTTATTCTGGTTGAAAGGACACATTCAGCCTGCTTTGGATCAGCTGATCTGCTGCTGACCTGTTTCAGCTCTGACTGACAGGTGTTTAGATAAGGACTGATTTGGTCTCTGCAGATGGAAAACGTTAGGTGAAAAGAAAGCACTGACAACTACGAAGTTGTGATGACATGAGATTGTAAAAGATTTCTTACAGAAAAAAAAGCTAATTGGCTCAACTGTGCCAAGATTTCACAGTAAAACAGCATAAGCAACTGCCCATCCAGCCTGACTGTATTTCAGCAGCACAGGATATCCCTGCACATAAAGTTTAATGCTGCTTTTATAAACCATGTCATCCCTTCTCTCTGGGGCAGGTATTGCTACTACCCAAATTATCCTTCTCCTGCTCCTCCCCTCTTGTCATCACCACAGCAGCCTTGCCTAGATACCTGAAAACCTTCTTACTGTACAAACACTGCTTCTTGAGCCCTTCCCTTCTCTTCATGATCTCTACCTTTCCCTTCTCTAACTTACTCACCAGTGGCTCCCTCTCCGTGCCATCCATGAGCTCCATGGCTGCCTTCCCAGTAACATTCTCCTGACTGGAGAGGTTGGAGAAAACAGCCCAGGATGGTGAGTCTGGCTGGTGCCACTGCTTTGCTGCTCAACTCTAGTGACTGTCTGTCTCTCTGGTTGGGTGTAAACTGCACCACAAGAGTGAACCAGAGCTACGTGACTAGGATGCCCTATAATTGCAGGTATTATTGATGCCAATATTATCTGATAGATTCTCAAAGGCACCTCTCTCATTCGAATTCCTGCAGGGACTAGGAGAACGGACATGGAATATCACTATATAATTCTTAAAAAGCCAGTCTTTTAATTGTTTTTCTGTTAAAGTGTGAGTCTATTAGATCCAGCACTAATTACCAGAAAGGTGCTGATATCACTTAGCCGAAGTTGAGCTTGAGATTTTAGATTCCAGCAGCTGGGTAAGAACTGGACACACAGAGCTTAATTAATTCTGTGCAGTTGTCTTTTGATCTGCCCATGCATAACAACTCCAGAAAACTCAGCTTACTCACTTAGCAGAACTCACCTACTATAGCTCCATGAATTTTACCACATCTGTGACAACAAACACCAGCTGATCTGTCTTGCTTTAAATACATCTCCCACTCCACTGTGATTTGCTAAGCCAAGATTCAGAACACCTCATTGAAGCTACAGGATCCAGGGTTCAGACTGATATAATGGAAATCAACGTATTTATGAGATCACAGAACATTACTGTAACTTCCAATCTCGTTAAGATTTCCCTCAGATACCTAAATCAATGTTCCCTTCACTCAATATATCATTCTGTCCTCAGAAATGACAGAGCACTCATCTTTCTAAAACACACACATACCTGTAAATGCCCTCCACGAGGATGATAATTTTTCTCCATGCTCTGTGGGTGCGAGGCTGCCCATATATTATTGCATCCCTCAGCAACTTCTCGAGGCTCTGCATATCTTTATTTAAAAATAAGAAAAAAAGGAGGAAGAAAAAACATTAACAAAGATTTTTCTTAAGCACTTTTCGATTTTCTCCTGGGTGCTATTTTTCCTATACAGGAAAAGACAACATTAAAAAAGAAGAATTTGTCCTAAAGATAAACTCCCTTTATTAATAGGCAAGACCCAATAACTGATTTAATTAAATACAGCCTAGTGACTAGGAGAGTTACAAAAATCTTCCAGTTATACAACTCACCTGGGAAACTTCTAGAAATTCTTGGTATACATTTCTATTTAAAGGCAAAAGGGAATCACTTTGCTTTGCTACTGAGGCTAATTGCAAGCAGTTCTCTGTAGGGGTTGCTGATGCTCTTAGTGTCTCAGGGCTTCTGAATAGTGAATTTTTGGGTGCTTTCCAATGACAGGCTCATGAATAACATGCACTGCTTCAGCAAAGGTTTGGACAAGGCTGCATGAAGCACATCAGGGTGGCAGGAGGAGAAATCTTGTCCTTCTCAAGAAGGAAAGTGAGCAAAAGATTGCTGATGAGAGAGGGGGAGGCAAGTGAATACAAGCACATGGCATGGATACACTAATTTGGTGCCAAAATGCTTGGCACTGGTGGGACTCTATAATATAAGGAGGCCTGGAACAATGTTAGACACTTAGCTGCTTTCTTTTGAGCTGAGTGTGGGTAATCTCATAAAATTCTTGAAGGAAAGCCACTGATGTTTGGAAAAACATGGAAGAAAGCAAGAAAAAAACAACACAGGAATAAAGGTCAGGCCAAATACGACTCTCTGCAGAGTTGTAATCTAACCGGCATTCTGATGCCTCCACATAAATGAACACTCTCCAAAATTAATTATTCTGGTACTTTTCAGGAATCTGGATTGACATTTCAAAATGTTTTCAAAGAACACCTTACAGAGTCTTGTAAGGAACACTACAGATCAGCTCAAACTGTGGACTGAGAAAATCAGTGGCATTTTTCTGTTATATAACCCCATTTGTTTCAGTAACACATCTTAATACAGTTGTTACAACTTTCTAAAATAGTACTAAGTTAATCTGCACAATGCAATTGTCCCAAGTGAAGAGAATACAGCTTAGAAATATTAATATTGATCTACACTTCAGTTTTGGCCTGACTGGATGTGGCTATCTGCACACCAAGTGTGTGCATCATGAATGACCTGTGACCTGAGAGATGACAAGGTTATGACCTGAATCCTTCCATCCTGATGCCTCACCTCTTGCTGGTAACAAGAACTGGTGTCAGTGAAAGATGAAGGTCTCAGCGACACCTCTGCCACTCTGCACCTTCCAGAGTAATCTCCTGATCTAGCAAGTCCTTGCTGTACTTTACAAAGCACAGAACATCAGCTGCCCCTAATCTCAGTGGTGCAATCACCTGCACACACAGCTCAGTGAACTCTGAGATGGAAATGCTGTTAGGAATGATGCAATGCAGACAGCACAGTTTCCACTAGATGGCAATCAAGGAAATAAAAGTTCCTTCGTGCTTTACAAGAGAAAGTTATAACCCAGCTCAGCATTTGCAGCTGCTCATGTTCTCTTTTGTTTGGAGTGGGTAATATTTAGAAATCCTCTCAAGTTCTGAGCATTAAAGGGCTCCTCCAGAATAACAGAATGCTCACTCGCAGTAAAATTTGGATGCCCCCTTTTCTCCACTGAATTACTCTCTACTGATGCCACTGCCATCTAAATCCTTTTGGGACCCTTGAATCCCTCTTCTGAAACATGCAGGGTCTTTCCATTCAGTGTTTTGTCTACATGTCCATCCAGATTGTTTCTAGACTTCAGGAAAGACATTTTGCCTCTGAGCTAAAAGCATGGCTTGAAGATGCAGTTGTTTTAACATACATTCACATGGGGGAAAAAATAGGAATGAGGACATAAAGAGAAGTGAAATGGCAATAACTCTGTTTAAAAAATACATGGATGTGAATAGATCCTCTGTCCAAACTACTTGCTACATGAGGGCACAGGCAAGGGAGAACCTCTCTGAGGGATCAGCTTACCTGACTTTACATGTAACATAGTCCTGCTGGAATACAGGCTAACAACATGTTTGTTTGCAAGATCAGAGCTATCTCACTTCCTTTTGATGTTTCATTCTGAAAAACACGTCTGGGTGACACTTTCTGAGGCCAGAAGAGTGAACACGATTTGTTCAGGTGCAAATGAGTTTTACTGACCTTTTAACTCTGTGCTTGTAGTGCCTCATCTGGAAAAGGGAAATAGGGAGGAGGAGAAAATCTGGAACCTTTAATATTCCCCACAGCAGGCTGCTTCTGCTCTTCAAAGTGAAGACACAGTGCTCTATATGCTTGTGCTTAGGCTTTCCAGAAAGTGGGATATACTGAATGGCCAGAAAATCAAGAGTGCAAGCCCAGGTGACTTTCAGATATCAAATTATTTGCCCATTAAATATAGTTAGACTGAGAAACACTGGGACACTGAGGTGATGAGTTGCACGAGTCCATCTTGAATAACCAGTTATAGGGAAAATAACTGTCCTTCCTGGTTTGACCATCCCCAGCCCAGGGTTACCAGTGGCAATGGCAAACAGCCACTCACCAGCACAGGAGGGGGTGGTAAGAATGCCTCCTGATCAATTACTCAAAGCACAGATCTATCAGTGTCTCACTTTCCACCTTTTACCTACGGCATGTTGTCTCAATACGGAGGATAAAGTTTCCCAAGAGGGGACAGTGGATCTGTCAGTGCCTCAGTGGACTTGCACAATCCTAGTTTGGGATCTTTCAGAGTTACTTCAACAGAAATATCACAAGAACACAAACTGCCAGTGGGCTGAAACGAGTCTGGACCTGGGCAGGCAGCAGTGTGTCATGCTGCCTCCAGTGCAGGTGGGACACCAGGCTCCTGGAGGGGCCCCTGCCCTCTCCCAGGCACGCTCAGGGAGACACGGTGTCTCCACCCCTCATCCTTGCACTTGCAACGCTGGGGATGTCATCACCGTCCCTCTGCGTGGGCTGGAAACCTCCCGCATGATGTCAGCTGAATGCTGCTTAATTAAAATAAACAGGCTACTACTACTCTTGTCATATTCTTTCTTTCACTTTGTGTTCCAAACTCTCGATTTTCAGTTTCTCCCGCTCTGCACTCTCATCCAAGTTCCTGCAGACGCTGTGGCGACACAGGAATCTCTTCGTTTGGAGTGGGGTGGTGGGAGTGGTGATTCCTGCAGCCACGTAACAGCCTGAGATTCCACTCCCTGCCCCTCAACCAATCCAGATCTCTGTGAAAGCAGAGGGCACTCACTCAGGAAAGCTCCCCATTCACGCTCAAGTCAGACATGGCTTTCTCAAATCAGAGAAGGCAAACGCGGCCACAGCGTGGTCGGAGCAGGATATTCCAGTCTCCTGGCTGAGGCAGCGTCTGTGTGTGTCACAGGGAAAAAGACACGCCAAACTGGATTAGGCTGCAGTCCACCTATCTGCTGCAATAATCTTGTCTCTGATAGTGGCCAGAGGCTCCAGGGAGGACAAAACCTTAGTGGGTAATGTGCCTTTCATCCTGCTCTGTAAGAGCTATAAGCTGCTCTCACTTCTGAAATTCAAGGGCCACTTACACCTCTGGAAAAAAAATAAATTAAGGAACTGTCTTGAATTAAGTCACAGCAAACTCTTTGGGTTTTGCAACTAAAGAGATATTTTGCTAATTTTTACATGTTTATTTGTCTCTTTCATTTCCCCCTATTTTATTTGCTTGCTTGCTTAAAGGTATGCACTTGAGAGTTTTCCACTATTTTTTTCCCCCATCTTCTTTCCTTCTTTTTAGCTAGAAAATACATTTGCACTAAAAAGTTAGGGCCTTCTGCCCTCTAAAATTTCCTTCAGTAGTAACTACAGCTCCTTCAGGTAACTGTGTCCTCATGGCACTCTTTTCTGAACTCCAAAGCAGTAACTCGACTGAGGAGACTGAGAAATGCCAGAGTTGGACTAACATAAATTCACAAATGTTGCCCAAAGCAGGAAACCTTATCTTGTATGGAAACCTGAACAGCTCATGCTTGCATGACACACTGCTGTCATCAACCACCTGACCTGTGAGAACCCATAAAACCCCTTTGTATTTTCACAACACTGAAAAGGTGCGTAAGGAGGAGTTAGGAACCTACTACCCTCATTCCCATTTCAGATGTGGATTAAAGCACCAGATTAGAGGCTGGCTTTTCACCTACCCAAGGTGAAAATTGCAAGTGCCTGCCCTCCTCGTAGGATCACTTGTTCTGATTGCTCAGTGAAGTGCCCTTGCAATGAAGAGAACTGGGAATATTTTTTCCCACATGGCCTGATTTCTGTGCCCAGTCACAACATTCCCACAGACTTTTTTTTTTCATGGAATGGCAAATCTAAACCTGAAAACTGGATTGCAATCGATGCTACATGGGGAAAATGTAGTAGAATTAGAAAGAATAAACAATTCCTAAGCCTTGTACGGTGCCCTCTTATAGAGGCTGATAAGAACAGAACTCACTTAGATGTAGTTAGTCCATAAGACCCTCATCTGTCCACTGAAGGAACACCTGATACCAGTGTAAGACCCAGAATTGCTGTAACAGAGACCCCTTCATAAAATCACAAGCTGATCAATGGTTAAATATTTGGTTTTGATTTTCAGGTTTTATTGGAAGGGTCAAGGGATTTTGGCTAATATTTAACCAAGATAAAGGTCAGAGGTCCTGAAAAAGGGCTTTTATATACAACAGCCTCTCCCTGAGCCAGAAAATAAAACCATCTGAGTTAAGCCCCTATATTAGCTTGAAGGACCCTCTTGCCTGTCACTTGGAGAAGCTAGGAGAGACTCCCTGGAGCCCAGGGCCAGTGGGGATAACATCAGACACACCTTCTGGCACATCAACTGAGCAAGGCCACACTGCCATCCACCTTCTCCCACTGCATACCAGTTGTTGGACCATGCTGCTGCCTGCATTCCCAGTGTAGGAATGCAACTCTTTCCCAGCTTCTTAAAAAAATCACTGCCTGGGAAATGGTAACTTGAATGGTGATCACACCACAGCAGAAAGACAAAAAGGGAGATGTTTTATGGGCAGGTCAGAATAACTTTAGTCCCCTAAAACACTGCTACGTACATTTAGGACTACTGAGGTCCTAAAATAAAATTAGAAAAAAAAATTAAATCCCCTAGATCAGTTCATCAGAGCAGGGGCTCCAGGGAGCTGAGCTTTGCTGCTTGCATCCACAAAAACTCACAAATCCCTGCAACAGAAAAAAGTCCCTATAAGGCCCAAAAACCCCTGTGCCATGCTGGTAATAACCTGGGCAGGGTGAAAAATAGAGACAGTGCTAATGAGAGTCCACAGGAAGGGAATGTCCTGCTCAGTAGTTTTTTACTTATGGGGCTAAAATGGAATATTCTCTTCAATCTCTCTCACACAGATGATCTGCTAGGGGTGTGCCTGTGCACTTCTCTCAGCCCAAACCTGTAAATTCCTGTCTGTTTACAAGGAAGGGATTGTTCACTGGCAGGCAGGATGCAGGGCACATTCCTACGTCCAAATACAAACAGACTTAGAGGTCCACAGCACATTTTTGTTCTATTATTCATTTTCAGGCTTGAAAACCTTCTCATACACCTGTGCAATGTTTTTGTCAAAATGGATGCCTTTTATTTTACTTGGGAAAGGCAGAGGGTTTTAAAAATTTTGTCTGTTCTAGACAATCTATTTAGATATTTTATGCAAAGTGTCATGTCTAAGAGAGTTACCCACTTACTGAAATAGAATTCCATTAAGTTTTGTAAGAATTAAGAATTACATTATATATAATTGAGGTAATAGGTAGAGATTATTTCTTGTCTTACCAATGAAATAATTATTTATTGATAATAAAAGCATAGTTACTTACTTCTGAAAGATGAAAAATCAATCCAGCATTACAAATTATATGCTTTGAAATAAAATCACACAGTTTTATAGAATTAGACACGGCATAGCTTTTGAAAGATGAAGGTGCTTCAGTAGCAAGTTTTAAATCATAGATTTTACTCTCTTTTCTTTGAAATATTTTTATCATATAACAGGATTTCCTGTAATTTTTCTTGGACAAACAGTTTTTCAACAACAGGGGGGAAAAAGGAGAGAGATCTGCAAGCTTGTTAGGAAGGGAGGTTACTAACACACACCCGCTGCAGGTTTTTTTGTATTATATTCAGGAAGCAGACAGTTCAGAAAATACATAACTGCTTCACTAAATTGTTACATAATTATCTCCCCCCCCCCTTTATAATAAATGCAACAAACATTAACACCTCACCCTTCTCCCAGTGTCTCTTCTACACCCCCGCAACCAAGGAAGTCGGAGCCAAAGTAAATATGTTCCCGGCAGTTTTATCAAGGGTATTACACAGCATTTCAAGAGGCTGATGAAAACAGCAAGGGAGCATGGAATAAAGGCTGATTTCCCAAGCTGCATTCTCAAAGCAAGAAGGGAACTTCCAAATCTGCTGCCTGATTTGAGTTTGTTTCGATGCTCCTGCACAGAGAGCGTGTCTCAGGCACTGGTGGTGGTACTGACTGGCGTATCTTGTTTTATCTTTAGTGTGAGATAAAACAGAGTGAGAGTGAGTGTGTTTCTGCACCTTGCTGGAGAATTGCTCCAGCTGCTCATCAAAGGGCCCTCTCCGTGCCTTTGACGGGTAACTCCCTCCAGTTGATGCCCAGGGCCAGATTCTTTAAAGGGTCATTAATTTTTGTATATGAAATGACATACATCAATCCCTTGTCCTTAGAAAGAGGAGGTGGAGGGTATGGCCTTTTTTAACTAGAACAGGGGTGGGTGGGATTTCAAAAGTAACAAAAAGGATGATGCTGAAATTAATGCTTGTTAGAGATCTAAAAGTGGTAATTCAAGGTGCAAAGTCTTCTATTTGTGCACAGGGCCAATACAGCAGAAGGAACTTTGCTCTCACACCAAGCAGTGTGACATGGAGAATGGCTCAATTCCCCTGTTCATAAGCATGACAATGACAGCACTAACATACTCTGACAGTTTGGGCATGCCTGGAAATATGCTATGTATCCACAGATTAGCAAGAAGGATAATTTGGGAGTACAAGCAACACAGCTCTGATCTAACAAAACAAGAATCTGCCTAACTGAAAAGAACCCTCCCAATCCAAGCTGGAAGTTTGGTTACTTGTGTCCTTATTTAATTTGCTGTACTGACTGGTATTACACTACTTCCTGACAGAACCACAGAGAACAAGGTTGTCTGCTTCATTTTGCGCTTCCGGCACAGGCAGTCCTGTTGGATTACACCTTCCAGTGCTATCTCCCCCAGTACACATCCTATTTCCTCCAAAGCAAAAGGCACAGACATGCATCTCTGCACATGTGATTTTAGAAGCTATTGGAGATCTGTAACGTCTGGGTATGATTAAGGAAATATTAAAGAACTTTCTAACCATGGAACGAACAAACTGACACAGTGGGCTGAGAGAAAGCTTAAGTGTGTGAAGCTTCTCCACATGAAGTGCTCCTTAAATGCAGCTTAAGTTCAGGCTCAAAGCCTACAAAATTGTGATGACAAAAGCTGTCACTCAAATTCCAAACAGTATTTGCAAAAGTTTCCACAGTTTCATTTAAAAAACAAGTTTTCCAAAGCAATCTGGATGGGCTTCCACTGAGGTTTGCTGAGACCCTTAAAGGAACTGTCTACATTTTCCAGTGCTGGATTGGTGCTTTTTGGATAGCTCACTATTATTTTTAGGTTCACACATTATTCAAAAGAGCATCAGCTTTAATTTATATAAGCACAAGCAGACAAGCTTAGATATCAGGTTCTGAGGAGGGAAATGAAATAGTGAGGGATGGTTAGAGACCAAATTCCTTAAAGTGAGGATGACAGCTCCAGATGATGTCTTCACAGCTGACAGTAATACACTCCTCAAACTGGAATGTTCTTTGAAATGCTGTGGGAAGTGAGAGACAGAGAACATTTGGGTTTGAGTAGTGAGAGTTCATCATTGAATGGAATAAGGCTTTGGACAACTAAAGAAAAAAAAAAACACAAAACTGGTACAGAAACCATGTTTAGTGTATCCAGATTTGTGGAAGTGAACCAAGCTGGGTTTTGTTACAGGTTAATCTATGAATAATTACTTTCGTAAAAATATTTGTGTTCAGGTGATCTTTAATTCTTGAATGATCTTCAGAAATTGCTTCTTGCCCAAATTATGAATAGAGATTAATTATAACAACATCTCACATTATAATTATGGTGTATTTTTCATTCCAACTCGTCCTTAGGCCTTCTACAACATATGCATAATTAATTTTTGCTCTCCTTGGGGCTGAACACAACACTTCATAAAGAGAAGGGACTGTATTAGCTATTTACAAAGGTAATCAGATCTCTCTTCTTACTCCTCACCACTTCTCTAGCTTCTAAACCTCTATTGCAATCACTGCTTGGTGGTAGCAATGAGGATGGAAAGGGGAATTGCAATGGGGGAAAATGGAAAAGAACAACTCGTCATCAAAGGCAGTCCCAATGTCTCTGACAGTAACCACAGCAGCATTATTAACTAAATAAAAGTTAAAAAGTATGAGTATTTTAGAAGATAACTATATGATTGCAAAGTTAATGCATGGTTTCTACGCTAAAATTCTACTTGGAAGAATATTTGGGAGGATGCTTTTGATACAGCCCTCTGCATCTTTGGCATTAGATCACTAGGAATTCAGAGTAACTGCTTCAAAGTAATGCCATGTGAATGGAACTCTGGCTGCACTGAACCTGCTGGAAACAGAAGCATGTTTTCATAAGCATGTTTTACTGCCTGGGCTAGAATGACAATAACAATAAACCCATTATGACACCACAGAGTCATTCAGAATGTCAGAAAGACAGCAACGGGATTAAGACGACACTGAATTTTGAAATTAAGGTCCAACCTGATGACACAAATCATACACAACAGTAATTACAGTATTGCAACTCTTAATTTTTCCCACCAGAAATCACTCGTAACATTAAACAGTTAATCTTTTCTGCCTGGGAACTGACAGCAAAGTAAGCATTGAAAGAAAGCATCCTTGCCTTTGAGGTGTGAACAACTCTGTCTCTAAAGTTTTCCGACTTCAATACTCACTATTATGCTTGAAGATTCTAATGGTGGCACCTGAAAGCCTCGCGCCCAGAACGAGAGAAGTGTGGTTCAACTCATCACTTAAAATGAGGCAGCCCTGTGGAGAAGGAGCACAGTGAGTATCTGCACGAACTGGGAGGCTGCTGACACGTGTGTCAGCACAAACACCCATCTGTGATAAAGAACTGCACCCCTTAAGATGTAAGTATTAAACACGAACTGGATTTTCTGCCACTTTTCTGAAGGTGCCAGCGTGCACTGCCAAGGCAGGCAGAAACTGTGGGATCAGATTCTCAGGCACATTCTCAGGTGGTTCATGGGATCAAATTTCTCCTGTAACTGAAAAGTAGCGAATAACCCTATTGAAGATGGACTGTTTTACTGTAAAATCCAGAGATGTTGCTTCCTCTGTCACCTGCCTACAGCCTATTTTGAGTTGTGAAGAAAATGCAACCACCTCCCCATATATAAAGTGTATGACAGTAGTAGTGTAGGGAGGAGTAATAAAAAAAAAAAAAAAAAGCTGGACTGACATCAGCACTTTCCACTGCAGAAATGAGATCAGGAGATCTCATCTCATAAGTCCCACCTCCATTAAGCTCTGAGGGAAGTTTAGGCACTAGGCAGAGCCTTTCTCTGGTAAATGCATATACAATTGACCTGGAATACACTTTTTATTAATTAACTCCGTTGAAAACTCATTTTGTTTTTAGAAACTAAAATAGAAATGCAGGAGAAGTAAATTTGTTTATTAAATTAACAGGAGCCAGGACTCACAGTTGAAATTCAAGCCTGAACCCTAATTTAGCTCTGCTTTCCATTAAACATCTTGTGCTGTGGTTTCATTACCCAAAGGGCAAGACAACATTAAGTAAATACTTCTTTTGGAATCATGGATTAGGCCTAGGTTGAGAGATTCTCACACAGTCTTCCTAGAGACTGGTATGCAGCACTAACAGTAAGTGTATATGCACCTTGACAAGAAAATGTAGCTGCTAGGCTTAATTACAGAGGAAAACACAGGAAAAAATCTCCCAAACATAGGGCAAGTTACACAATATCTGTAATATATAACATATAATAATATTGTATAATGATATACACTGAATTGTGAAATACATATAGAATACATACAGTAATATCTTTTGTGCTACTTTTATCTAAATATCTCATGTCTGACAGGGGCTTGAGTCTCCACATAAGGCCTGGTAAGTGAGGGAAAATTATTATAAGCAAGGGACAAGTATCTTAAGCTATTATATATGTCTGCAATTTCATAAAGTGACCTTTGCAATTTCATACATTTACCTTTGTTAATTCTCTGTGTCTGTTCCCCTTGAAAGTGCTGGACAACTTCTCCAGCACCACTGCAGACTGAAGTTCATGTTCTGGGCAGCTGAAACAGCTCTCCCTGCCCAACACTCGTATAAACATATTTCAGAAATCTCTTGCAAAAGCTGTATTCTTCTTCAATAGTGAGTGAAGAAGTGCCTTCACCTCTATGCTGGTGTTTCAGAAGAACTTTTGATCGTACACCACTACGTGAATTCATTCCATCTCCACCAAGAGGGAAATAATGTTTTGTTCTTGCATGACACACTTCACACTGTTCCACACCTGGCCGAACTAAAGAGGAGCTCCCAGCCTTCCCAGCACAGTGTCTCTGCTTGTGATGCCCAGAGTCAGGATTGACAGGAGATGGATATTCATGCCTTTGTGTTAGGTACCCCAAATTGGAGATGAAGCCCCTTCACCACCCAATTAGGAACCCAATTTTTGTAACATGGTTATTTTTGTAATATGGTTATAACTTCAGACTTGCATTTGCTGCCAGCTTTCTTGGTAGGACTGGCTGGAGCTCTGTTCATCAGGAATGGTAAAGAACTGTGCTTTTTGTTTTCTGAAAGCATTGTAAAAACTATCCTAATAGTCATCTTTCACCACAGGCAGCTGGGCAGTATCTCTGCAAGCAGCCCAAATACTTCACCCCATAACACCTGGTCAAGGGATACAACATCTGCTTACCTTTTAGGGAGAAGCAACTTCATTAAGAGGAGCTAAACAGCCATATCCCTGATCCTTAAATTGGTGTTAGATATGTGTGATAGCAACGCTCAGCACTAGCAAAAGCGGTGAAGGAGCATTTGTAAGGTCACAAGGTCATCAGCCTTGTGACTCACACATTCCTGATACCAAGCTTTGTTCCTCGATCGAGCCTTTCCACTCAGTGAGTGCCCAGAATTCTGCAGCAGTAGTTCAAACAATTAACAAACGATTGTTCTGTGTGTGTTCCTTTAGAAAGTCCTCACCTTTCCAACAAGGGCTGGAATATTCATCGAGTTAGTGGCAAAGCCCATGCCAAACACCATGGCATCTTCCACACCAAGGAACGTGGCCACAAGTTTCTCTAGTTCTACATGTTTGTCTAGGGTGCCTGCAGAAATAAGCACAGGGAATATTAAATCTCATTAAACTGTGGAAGCTATTAAGGCACAAAAATGTACAGAAGATCAGGCCAGAAATGTGTTATTAAGCTATAAATGAAGGTTTTTCATTTGTACCCTGTGCATGTGGGGTAATGCAAGAGAAAGCAAGGGTGCAAACCAGCTGTGACTAATACTAATAAATACTGCAGCTGTTAAGGCAGCAAAGCAGCTGCTGTGGCAAAAAAGCTTCCCTTTTCTGTAACAACTCTTGACATAGTTTATTTCGAAGATTAATTTTTTGCCTTTTTCTCTCCCTTGCAATGAGGGCAAAAATACCTCATTTTTTGGTAGGAAATGCGGGGAAAACATTTTAGGCATTCTTAAATTCTCTCTGGATGTGAAAACAAAAATCAGTCACAAGATTCTTCTGTTTTTAATTGAGTGCCTACATATGTGTACAAAATCCTTAATCAGGATTTTACATGGATAGACAAACAAAAGTGTTTCTGCTTTGGAAGGTATAAAAGCTATTCTACTCTCCATAACTGATAAGTCTCCCCTTCCTCTCAATAACAAACATAAACGATAAGGCAACACTACAGAGAGCCTTCTTTATTGCATATCAAATATCTAATATTAGTGCCTGAAGTCTCCAAACAAATAAGGTGCTCCAGCTACCCAACAAAGGCAGTATCCTTCCTGCCCAACTCACAGCGAAGGATGACAAAATACAAAAGGCAACAAACAAAAGGGTGGTGTTAAGAGACTGAGATAACAAATAGCTTTGAACAGTAAGGAATCATCTCAACTTGCCAGCTCTCTAGTCTTTGGTTGCCTGGCTGTGCATTGCAGGTACCAAGGCAGAAGGAACTCTTACAGGATGATCCGTGGGGAAGGAAAGAGAGTGGTGTGTGGATTCTGACCGAGCATTTCCCCTGTGAGTAAGGCTGCAATCAGGGAACAGGAGAAAAAAATTAGGCAAGTGAATATCTTACCTCACTTGCACTGCACAAATTGCTGTCACAATAATATAGGCAAAGTGAATTACAATTGATGGGACAAGAAAGCTGTGTTCACTGTGATGGACAAAGGGAGATGAATGGAGGAATGCAGAAGCTTGGCTGCAGCGTCTCAACAAGAAGGATGAGTCAGGAAGATGATCTTCATCACAGAGGAGAGTTCATTAAAAAAGTCAAATATAAATGGCAGAAGAACAGTTTCTACAACAACGCTAAGCTGGTACAGTGAAGTAGTGTTTTCATTATTTTTTCTCATTAAATATCTAAAGTAGGAATGACATTCACGTGGAAAAGAATGTGCAAAGTATTTATCCTGAAGCCAGGTAATTCTCCAGGAGCCAGGAGATAAGGAACAAGGATCATGGGGCTTGTGGAAAACCATTTACATGGCCAGCAAAGAACAGAAGTGCTGATTTTGCACAGAGCCTGCCTGGGTTCTGCTACACCTGAGCCAACTCTGGCAAAGTTTGAGAGTGTCTCTGCACTCCTTGTATCACACTGACTGCACATGGAGCAGGGCTGCCTCTCTGCTCTGAGAAGTTCTGCAACGGGACAAGAAAATTTGGCTCTGCAGAACCTCCAGTAGATGTGAGCTGACCCTGCATGAAGCTCTTTGAGGACGGCTATCTTTGGAATTTGCAGATTCCAGTATACACATGCTGGCTCTGCATACAGCCACCATCTAGTAGCCAAGCTCCATGAAACACAAAACTACCCAGTGTTTCAGAGCTGAGCTGCTCACTGGAAATGTGGGTGAGAATCTATATCTTAACTTGTAAGCCCAGCCCAGGTCTCAGAGTATACTCCTATGGCTAGTTCTATATTTTCTGCAAATTTGACCCAGCTAGTCTTCAATCTGATTACAAGCACTCACAGACAACTAAGAGTTCCAGCATCACCAGCCGCTCAGTGTTCCCTGCAGATGTTTTTTTGTCACTTGAGGGATATCAGCACACAAAAGTAGATGAAGTCTGAAATGGAAGCTTGAAGCCAACCACACTGTGATCACAGCTGGAATTAGAAGGAGGATTGTGAAAGCACGAGAAACAAGCAGTGTGTGCTTTGCAAGGGAGGCATTTTAAGGCATGACAAAATTGTCCCTGACTTTTCCAGGGATAAATCTGACGCTGCTGGGGTGGAGTTAAATTGCTTTTTGGGGTTGCATCATATGTTTTCTGTTTTTACAAACAAGAAGAGCCTGACTCAATACAGATTGTTCTGTTAAAGCATCTATTAGATGACCCACAAAGGAACAGCATATTTGGACCTATTTTTATTGATTTTGTGATGATGAAACATTCCGAAAGTGACCGATCCCTACTTATTATTTAGTAATCCTAAGAGTGAATGGAGATGATGTTGTACACGGCTATTGCCCACAAATCCTGGAATAAAACCTGGAATCAGTTTGCAAAACAAAAACCTGAATGACACAGATTTGCAGAATGAGCCCTGGTTCTGAATTACGTTAATTGTCATGGCAATAGTGTAGGTGGGAGATGAGGTGCTGAAGAAGCAAAACAATACACAGCAGTACTGACACTGGGAGGTTCATGACAGCTGTATACACTGAGCAGAGGTGATAAAGCATATCAGCTTCCATTTTGCCAGGTTTCAATTAAACGGGCTATTTATTTAATAAATTATGCATTTATTTAATCTTTTCATAAGATATCTCCAGTATAGGTCAGTCCTTGGACATTGTAAATGACATCAATTATTTCACTTGTCTCCACTGGATGAAACAAGGGGGCAGATACGCTCTGCTGGGATTGGGGCTTGCTCCACTAGCATTCCCAGCTGGTCACAGCAACCCCTGCAACAAGCATAAACAGCACTACCAGACCAGATGCAAATTTGATCCAAAGGAATCAGCACAACCTGAAACAACTCAACATCAACATCTCAAGCTACATAAGAAAGGCAGTAATTACACTGCTCTTCCTTAAATACAACCTTAGAGGTGTCAAGTGAGGTTATCATGGCCCTCAAAACGTCTTCTATTTGCTAGATTCTAGACCAGCATCATGATCTGCTGAATGAAAAGTGATACACTGGATACATTTTTATTAATACATTGCATAAACAGATAACTTCTACACTTGCCCCATACACAGACATTAGAAATTTCCCCCATCCTCCACCTGTTCTGATTTTTATGCCAACTACAGCTTGGTTTGGACACACACAACAGGGATACAACTAAATAATGTACACCAACTTCCTGGGAAAGATTTAAGACAAAAAAAGAGAAGGGCACCTGCATCTTTAAGAGACAAAATGAAATAACTTGAAAGTTTTTCCTCCCTGCCGAACAGCTGAATGCACTATGGTACAGCAGGAGTTACTGTGACCCAAGACTGTATAGGCATTAAGACCAAAGATCTTATCAAAAGTGGACTTTCACAATGGTAGCCACCTCCACAGATTCCCACACTTCTCTCTTCCCAAAGCAAATCCCCTCCTTTTCAAAACCTGATGACCCAGTTCCCTCTATTAACTTGTCACTGCACTCTGGTGACAGGGAACATGAAGTACACTGTGTTCTGACAGGTTTTTCTCATAGGATCACCCATACTCTTGGGCTCAAAAGTCACTGTCAGTCTGCTAGACAGATAAAGCTTGAAAATGCACTTCCCATGGTCCACGGTCATTATTTAGCTTTGACACTCTCAGCCTGGACAAGGTGGTTTGTGCCACTGGTTAGTCTGCCCAAAACAGTCTTTCAGGTTCTTAAGGCACTAATGACACGGACTGGTTAAACTGCTGACAACTGGCAACAGGATCCTGCAACAGAATTTTGTGTTTGGAATTCTGAGACCCAAAGAAGACAGGAAAATCCCTGCTTGCCTCACATTAAACCAAAAGGTGGAGGAGTAAACTGATATGAGCAACAAGTCACTGGAAGAAAAAGGAAGAGCTGGGAATCCTGTGCATCCCTGATGTGACTCACCCAGGTGAATAAGAGCCATTATGCTATGAAAATGAAGCTTTGTCAGAGGCACCCTTAGGAGGGTGGGGAACAGAACAAAACACCTGAACTTCCTTGTCACAGTTGAAACTTAAGGTCACAAACTCACCCTGCTAGGACATTTGTCAGAGATGAAAAAATAGTATCACTGAAACACATAATGTGCTTTTACAAAAGCAAGACCGGATGAGTTATTTATAGAAGGATGAAGAAACAGAAGGTGTAGAAATGGTATTATTTCTTTACACCATGCTTTCAGAGGGGATGATGCAAATGGTCTCAACTGTCCTACAGAGCCCACTACCAGAGCAAAGCCTAAACTTGTAGAATGAGACATACTGGCAAGAGAGGGAGAGAATTACACTGCAGCATTATGTAGTTGCCTCATTTAACACATAAAACAGCCTCAAAATAGGTGGGTTTTGAGGAATCATTTGAGATATAGGACATGCTCAAATTTTCTTAACATTGCTACCAGCTGATAGGGCTTTCATACCACGAAGATGCTGTGGGTGTTATAGATCTAATGCTGTATCTGTGTAATTTACTGATTCTCAGGAAAAAAAAAAAGTAGATTCATTTTTACAAAGCTTTACAGTTTAATTTAGATCTTCTGGTTTTGTTTCTTTTTTTCCCTTTAGAAAAACACAAGTTTAATAAAACAGTTTAAATCCAACCTCTTCCTGCCAAAGCCTGGATGGCAGTACCTTAAGTATCTAAATATTTGCATGTACATGCATAGATAACATCATATACAGGAGATATTTTAAGTTTTAAACAAGTCACACAACCCTTAAGTTATTCTGGACACCTTAAATTCCACCTGCCAGAAGGTGGACTATCCAGAGCCTAATCTTGCTTTGCAAAGCATACTTTTGCAATGGTGAAATACCAGGAACAAACCTGACCCTTTGATCAGAAGCTGGATAAGCTATTTATGAGAGGGTAAGCACAAAAAGGAAAATGATGTTAGTAAGAAGTGACAAAAGAAAATTCCTCTCATGTTTCCTAATTTATG